CAATATCCATGAACTAGGAAATATCCCCTTCTTGTTCATATCTGCATTCTGTTCTCTGAATGTATATATCTGGTATTTGGTTTTTATTTACTTGGTGAAAGAGTGGCTGGATGAATGGGTTACTTATTTGAGGAAGATTTGATAAAGGTGAAATGTTTGTGTGACAATGAGTATAATTCCAGATATGTAGAAGTGAGGCCTACAAGAACATTTTAATTTCACTTTTTGAGGCTTCCATTGTTTTACCATTTTTTTCTCTTGTTCAATGGAAATTTCAAAGATGGTATGGCTTACCATTTCTTAAACTAATAGTTTCCCTGACCAGATTATCACCCCTCAGCACGGGGCCAGTAGTGCAATGGATAACGGGTCTGACTACGGATCAGAAGATTATCACCCCTCTTTTTTAAATCACTATGATGGAAAGAAATACAAGCCAAGTTCTCTGAGCTATAAATTATATTTTAAAAATCACATTGATCAGCCAGCGCCATGGCTCAATAGGCTAATCCTCTGCCTTGCAGCGCCGGCACACCAGGTTATAGTCCCAGTCGGGGTGCTGGATTCTGTCCCAGTTGCTCCTCTTCCAGGCCAGCTCTCTGCTGTGGCCTGGGAGTGCAGTGGAGGATGGCCCAAGTGCTTGGGCCCTGCACCCCATGGGAGACCAGGAGAAGCACGTAGCTCCTGCCTTCGGATCAGCGTGGTGCGCCGGCCCCAACGTGCCGGCCGCGGTGGCCATTAGAGGGTGAAACAACTGCAAAAGGAAGACCTTTATCTCTGTCTCTCTCTCTCACTGTCAACTCAGCCTGCCAAAAAAAAAAAAAAAACACATTGATCTTGAACATAAACATTTGCCGACCTGAAAGTAAAAATGATTTGAATATAAAATGCATGGGGGCCAGCACTGTGGTTCACACGATTAATCCTCCATCTGTGGCGCCAGCATCCCATATGGGCACCAGGTTCTAGTCCCGGTTGCTCCTCTTCCAGTCCAGCTCTCTGCTGAGGCCCAGGAGGGCAGTGGAGGATGGCCCAAGTGCTTGGGCACCTGCACCCTGATGGGAGACCAAGAGGAAGCACCTGGTTCCTGGCTTTGGATTGAATTAGCACTGGCAATAGCAGCCATTTGGGGAGTGAACCAAAGGAAGGAAGACCTTTCTGTTTCTCTCTCTCTCTCTCTCTCACACTGTCTATAACTCTGTCAAATAAAAAAAAAAAAAGAAAATGCATGAAATTCATTGCCATAGTTCTCATGCTGAATGCAATAGGTATTTCTTTACATATTCTTCATAAAACTGTTACATTTGGCTTATTCAATTATATCACCTTTTAAGGGAAACTTAAATGGGGTATGCAATGGAATGGATGCAGAAAATTAACAGCTAGTAGCACAAGAAAATAAAATGAAAAATTTGAAAGTGTAGTGTAGATAAAAGGCAAAAAAATCACAACATGAATTATTATAGAGACTTGTTCAATTTATTCATTCCCTGAAATTTCAGTAGGCACCATACAGTAAGTATCTGCAATAATTGGAGTTGACAGTGATGAATCAAAAACCTAATGAGAAGTTCAATGCCAAAGATGTACTTTGAGTAATATGTTCTAGGAAGACACCTGTATCCTATATTTATTATAAAAAAGAAGAGATCTAACTTTCCCATATATAATAACTATACTAATCAAACAAAATCAATACAAAATAAAGACATTTTGTTGATAACTATGGCTATTCCCACTATATATCCTAATTATATTTTTGCTAGGATTTTAATATCTGGGTAGATGGTGATGTGTTTTACTGACATTGTAATAAACATGGATGAAAAGATGATGAGTTCAATTCTATATGCGTTTAATTAAGATCTCCAGAGATAATTTCATAATTACCTAAAACTACCTGATATACATTGCTAAAACTCAGAGAAGGAATTGCGAACTCCAAAAAGTGATTGGTTAATAATTAGTATACAGAAAATTATTAAAAACAAAGACACAAAGTGTCCATAAATTTTAAGATAGCTCAAGAATAAACTCTAGGAATCTCAAGATTTAGAGATAATGAGAAAGGATTTAGTTTCAAATGGACTCAGAAAATCACATGGAGTAGAGAAATTAGTTTTTAATAAAACAGACACAAATAGTTTAATACAAGAGGTCTTCAAATATCTCAGCTGCAGAAATCTTAGTCTTGGTAAATGTTTCTATGGGTGCTTTACTCTGAACTGTGGAATACTGTTCCTAGAATTTCCCTCATTACCTTTAGCATCTCCTGAGTATCCACTAAGTGGGTGTCCTCCAAATAGCACAAAAAGACTCCCATAAACTAGTTTATTGCATTCATAAACCTCTAGTAGAAAGAACAAGGAAATAATATTCATTATTCAAATTATTACCAATTACAACTGCAGATCACCTGGTACTAGCAAGGTGGACGTCCACATCACCATTTGTGTGGCTTTGGGTATTTAGTCATGACTGGGGCTGAACACAGAGGGAAAAGAGTTGAGAGTCATGAAAAGAATGGAACAATTTCAGAAAAAAAAATTTAAGTGGACACAACATCATAATAATAATTCTGTAATTAAAATCAGGCAATATGAATGGTATATAATTCCATTCCCAAATTTCTATAATAAGAACAACAGATGTGTACACAAAAATACATAGGATTGGGTGTTGTGGCACAGCAGGTTAAGCCGCTGCTTGAGATGCCCACATCCCATATCAGAGTCTGTTGAAGTCCTGGCCACTTACATGGAAGCCTTGGATTGAGTTCCGGATTCTGGCTTTTGAGGGCATTTGATGGAGCGAATCAGAAGATGGAAGATATCACCCTCTCTCAGACACAAATGAATAAATGATAAACATTAAAACAAATAAAAATCTTTTATTTCCCTCACACATATATCTGCAAAATTGTCTCATCAACCTCCTCCAGGGGCATTAAGGATGAAAATATATTCTCAGGGCTTCTGACCACAGGATAAAACAAGCAAAGAGAACCCAACACCTAGACTAAGAGTTGTCCAAGATAAAAAATAAAAAACAGGAGAGGATTAGCTGAGATTTTCTGAATTTTCCCTTGGAAATAATGAGGCAGACCATTTTGTTCAAGTATACATATATATAATGAAAGCAGGGGGAAGTTGCACTGGGGGTGCTAGACAGAAGATAACATTTTTCTCAGTTGCCTGGGACAAAACTGGCCATCATAAACAAATATAGTACTTAGCTTTGTAAAATTTTTATGCCTCCCTCTTTTTTCCAGGTGTCATAAACACATAAGTGTGAATTTTGATATTAGAAGATCCATAGGCATTCTTATTAAAAAATATAGAAGAGTGAGCATAATTACAAGCCTATTTGGAAGGAGCAATTGAAAGCTTAATGGCAAACCACACTTTTATAAAACATTTTGTAATCCATAAACTGTACTTTGGGAATTTATATATACTAAATAAAATTAAAAAAAAAGAAACTTAATAAATGAGTCAAGTAAAAAGTGAAAAAAAAAAAAACAACATTTTGAACCTCAAATAGGAATACTTAGGTGGTTAATAACTAGCTAATTGGATGCAAAAGTATAACTCAGAGAAGGCCTATTGAGGATGAGGCTATTATTTCCCTGTGGCTGGTTTAAAATAGTTTCTAAGTAAGTTATTTGTTGAGAGGATGAATTAATGAATATTAATATCATTAAAAATATATCACATGACTTAATTATTGAGCAGTTAAAATAATCTACAATTTACTAAGTTCTTGACATATTGCTTTTATATTTTTCATTTTTTAAATTTTATTTTATTTATTTATTTGAGAGGTAGAGCTACAGACAGTGAGAAGAGAGAAAAAGAGAAAAGTCTTCCATCCGCTGGTCCACTCCCCAGATGGCTGCAATGACCGGAGCTCAGCTGATCTGATCCAAAGACAGGAGCCAGGAGCCCCCTCAGGGTCTTTCATGTTGTTGTGGAGTCCCAAGGACTTGGGCCATCTTCTACTGCTTTCCCAGGCCATAGCAGAGAGCTGGATTGGAAGTGGAGCATCAGGGACTAGAACTTGTGCCCATATGGGATGCCGGTGCTGTAGGCAGAGGATTAATCTACCGCACCACAGTGCTGGCCGCCCCTCGTTGCTGTTTTGTTTTTCTAAAATCAAATATATGTTTTTTTATTTTAGGTGAAAATTTGAAACAGTGATATTTGATAATTGATCACATGGTTAAAAGTGGACAAAACTGGGGTTTGTTATGAGGTAAATTTGACTCAAAATGCAATGTTCTTAAAGTTACATTGACGTGACCAAGAAAGTAAGCATGGAATCCTGCAATAATCTCACCAGAGATTTAAATAGCTATTCTGCATATAACTGTCAGCACAGGAGCTAAAGCAATCAGATGAGAGGAAACAGTAAGTGGTTTTAGCATAATTATAACAAAAGAGGGCTTGAAGAAGGCAGAAAGAAAAGAGTTGCTGCATCACCCCTCCCACAACTCTAAGCAGGGCCCTGTGCAGAGAGAGACTGCTCTTTTAGGGAAGAGTGGGGGAACTAAGTCCAGGCATTTGGCTTAGCACCCAGCACATGGTCACTTCGGTGAAACCCACGACATAGAGAACCCCGTGGCCTCAGCATCCAGGCCAGCACCCGCTAGGCAAGCCTCTGACACTTCCTTAGACTGGCAGTCATGGGATTGCTTTCACCACCCATTGCCTTACCTCAGGCAGCAGAGCCTGAAAGACCCCACATGCTAGGGGTAGGAAGGGAAATAAGTTTAGGAATCTGCCTGGAAACTCAGTGCCAATCTGGTGAAACTTAAAACCAGAATAATGGCAATAACCCTTTTGTCTAGGCCAGTACCTATGGACAGAACATCTGGACCCACCAGGGCCATATGGGCAGAGCTTCTGGACCCACCCCATGCCAGGAAGAAACACACAGCCAAGTTGGATGGACTTGTATTCTGTCCAGTACTATCTGCAGCTGGTTATTCCAGACCGAGCATGCAGGCACGCCACAGCACCATACAGCCCACAGAGCGTGAATTTAGGTGCTGCCACTATGTTGTTTTCTCAGCAGGCTGCGGGCTCCAGGTGCTACCCAACCTTGTAGCATTGAGTATCAAAATACTGCCCAGCCATTCCTCCCCCAGTGCCAGGCTGTACAATATGGACAGAATCATTGGCCACTTGGGAGAAGAGGGAAATAGGTATTAAATCATTACAAAGGGCCTAGGACTGGTCCCTTCACAGTGAGACCCACTGTCAATGAGAATCCTGTAACAGCTGACCAAAGTTGTTGATAACTGTGAAAGAGACATCTGGGTTCACCTTGGCCCAGGTGGAGCTAGCAGTAACAGACTATATCTTTTATTCATTGTTATTTTTTTTAAATATAGTTACTTGTTAATTTTAATAATTTAATTTTATTTATTTATTTGAAAAGTAGAGAGACACAGAGAAACAGAGATATCTCATCTACTGGTTTACTTACCATGTGCCTGCAACAGTCATGGCTGGGCCAGGTCAAAGCCAGGAACCAGAAATTCAATCTTGGGTCTCTCACATGGGTGGCAGGGACCCAATTACTTGAGCTGTCTCCTCGTGCCTCCCAGTATGTGCATTAGCAGGAAGCTAGAATGGAGAGTGGAATCAGAACTCAAACGTAGGCACTCTGATATAGTATACAGGCATTCCAAGTAATAGTGTAACTGCTGTGCCAATGCCCATAGACTGTCCCTTTCAGGCAATCTTCCAGTTCATCTCAAGCATCAACTGCAAAATCACAACAAACCTGGACTTGGGGCACCCTCTAGTGTTCAAAAATGGCAATACATCAACTATAGCAACCAGGGACATATGTAGAGCACTATTCACCCCTGAAATAGTGTCCATGATCAAGGCATTTAGATTTTTAGGAAGAATAGCTACAGCCAAAGCCAAATTATGAAGACTGTAATAAATACCAATTCCTTCCACATTAAGAAGTTATTATATAGAACCATGTGTCAAGAATATTTGAGGACCCATATCTTCACCTGACAGACAAAATAAAGCACTATAAAGCAGCCATAGAGCAACCACTATGATGAAATCTCAAGCAGAGAATTTTTAAAAATCTGATTTGTAGGGGCCGGCACTGTGGCACAGCAGGTTAACGCCCTGGCCTGAAGCGCCAGCGTCCCACATAGTCGTTGGTTCAAGACCTGGCTGCTCCACTTCCCATCCAGCTCTCTGCTATGGCCTGGGAAAGCAGTGGAAGATGGCCCAAGTCCTTGGGCCCCTGCACCCATGTGGAAGACCCTGAGGAAGATCCTGGCTCCTGTCTTCTTATCGGCATGGATCCGGCTGTTGAGGTCAACTGGGGAGTGAACCATCGGATGGAAGACCTCTCTCTCTCTCTCTCTCTCTCTCTCTCTGCCTCTTCTCTTTCTGTGTTACTCTGACTTTCAAATAAATAAATAAATCTTTAAAAAAATCTGATTCGTAGAAACTTAACAAAAACCTCCAGGGAAACACAGAAATATTTCAATACTTTATCAGAGAAACTTAACAGAGTTTGAGGTAGACAAAATAAAATCAAACAGAAATACTTGAGTGGAATAGTTAACTAATTAAAATGGAAAAAGAAGGAGGGGGGAAGAATCTACTTTTAGCAGAAGCATACAAACAGAAGAATTAGTAAGTGAGCTTAAGGATGAGCTATTTGAAATCGAGTAGAAGGGGAGTCAGTGCTGTGGTGTAGCAGGTAAAGCAGCCATCTGCAGTGCTAGCATCCCAAATGCGTGCCAGTGCAATTCCCAGCTGCTCTACTTCCCATCCAGCTCCCTGCTGATGTGCCTGGGAAAGCAGTGGCAGATGGCCCAAGTGCTTGGGACCCTGCACCCATGTGGGAGACCTGGAAGAAACTCCAGGCTCCTGGCTTTGTTTGGTCCAGCTCCACACATTGCAGCCATTTCGGAGTGACCCAGCAGATGGAAGATCTCTCCTTCATCTCTCTCTCTCTCGCTCTTTCTCTCTCTCTCTCTCTCCCTTTCTCTCTGTAATTCTGCCTTTCAAATAAAATAAACAAATATTTGTGAAAAAGAAATAGAGTTGGAGAAAGAGTAAAAAGTGAACAAGAATGGAAAGACGATACAGAAATTTTGGGATAGCATAATAACAGCAAATTTCTACATTACTGGGTCTCAATAGGGACTTGAGAATGCCAAAGTTACAGAGAAGGATACAACTATCCAAGTACAGGAAGATCAAAAGTCCCCAGTCAGATGTAACTCTACTAAGTCCGCCACAAGAGGTATTGTTGAAAAATGTCCAGGGTTTTAAGAAGCAATGGGAAGCAAAAACCTGAGTAACATCTAAAGATATTTGAATTCAGCTGACAGTAGACTTATTAGTAAAAATCTTACAGGCTAGGAGACACTAGGATAAGATATTTACTGTGCAAAAGGAGTGAGAAATTGCTAGTTAAGAAGACTGTACCAGGGGCTGGCACCTCAGAATATAGGTTAAAGCCTCCGCCTGCAGTGGCAGCATCCCATATGGGACACCGGTTCGTATTCAGGCTGCTCCTCTTCCCATCCAGCTCCCTGTTTATGGCCTGGGAAAGCAATGGAAGATGGCCTAAGGGCTTGGACCCCTGAGTCCACATGAGCATACGGAGTAGGCTCTTAGTTCAAACTACCAATAGATGCTACTGAAGAAGAGAACATCAGAAAGTAAGAAATTCACTGGCAAAAGTAACCATAGAGACAAATTCAGAATCTGCTAATAGTATAAACTCAGTAATTAAGTCATTTATATTTTTACTATGAAGAGTAAAATGCACTATGAGAATTAGCTGTAAAACTTGTTCTCAAGCAGTACTTTATACTTCGTGTGTGTGTATGCAAATTGTTGAAATCTTTACTTAGTATAGAGTTGGTCTTCTGTATATAAAGTTAATTAAAAATGAATCTTAAAGAAGAAAGGGATGGGAGAAGGAGGAGGAGGTGGGACAGGAGTCGGGGTGGGAGGGCCGGGTATGGGGGAAAGAACCGCTATATTCCTAAAGTTGTAGCTATGAAATTTGTATTCATTAAATAAAGGGTTTTTTTAAAATAATAATAACTAAATTAACATGTGTAAGAGATAATCAAGAAGAAATAAAAGAGAAGATCAAAAATTCAAAATGAGGGCTGATGTTGTGGCGCAGTAGATTAATCCTCGAACCGGCACCCATACGGGATGCTGGCACCACAGGAAAAGGATTAACCTACTGAGCCAGGGCGCTCAGTAGGTTAATAAGTATTTTTTTTAAATGGAAAGTAATACATATTTTTGAGGATATGGAGAAACTGGCACTCTCATACATTATTGATGTGTTTATAAAACTGGGTTGCCTCTGCCCAAAAATATTTGATGATTTTTCAAAAAGTTAACCATAGATAACCATATTATTCAGAAATTCTACTCCTAAATAAATATCCAAAATAACTTAAATCAACTACCCTAACATACATTTATATGGCAACTTTAAATGCACCTTTGTTCCCAATAGCCAACATGTACAAATAATCCAGGTCCCCCTCAACAGATGAATAAACACATAAAATGTGATATACATATATGGGATGAAGACTACCCTACCATGAAAAGCGATAAGTTCTGACACATGCTACAAAGTGGATAAACCTCCACGTTATACTCAGTGAAATAATCCAGAGGAAGGACAAGTATTGCATCAGTTCACTTCTATGAAATATTAGGAAGAGAAAATTCATAAAGAAAAAGCAGAGTAGAGGTGACCTATAGTTGAAATAGAAGGGGCATTCTACTCCATTATCCATTTGCAATTAACACTTAGAGTGTTATTCCCTTTATAGCTATAAGAAAAGTTGTGTTGCATTTTATTTCTATTTGTTTCTCCTGTGACACTTTTCACAATGGAAGATTGTTTCTGATGTATTTAATTTTTCTTTTATTTTAAGAAGTTCTTTCAACATTTGTTGCAACACAGATTTGCTGTCTTAGAATAATTTAAAAAAAATATTTATTTACTTGAAAGTTGGAGTTACACAGAGAGAAGGAGAGACAGAGGCAGAGAGAAAGGTCTTCCATCCGCTGGTTTACTCCCCAGTTGGCTGCAACAGCCAGAAATGCACCGACCTGAAGCCAGGAGCCAGGAGCTTCTTCCGGGTTTCCCACATGAGTGCAGGGGCCCAAAAGCTTTGGCCATCTTCTAATGCTTTCCCAGGACACAGCAAAGAGCTGGATCAGAAGTGGAGCAGCTGGGACTCAAACTGGCACCCATATGGGATGCCAGCACTACAGACAACGGCTTTACCTGCTATGCCACAGCGTCAGCCCCAGAATAAATTTTTTTTCTTGTCATTTTGGATTTGAAAAATATCTGCATTTCTCCTCACATTTTTGAACATTTTAACTAGTTAGGATATCTTGGATTTTTTAGTACTTTAAGTATTTCACTCTACTCTCTTGCTTTCATGTTTCTCAATACAGTTTTGCTACACCTTTGTACCTCTATTGGGAAGTGGTCCCTTCACAGCTTCTTTCCAAGGTTTCCCTGATTGATGATTCCTTCTGCTGAGTAAGATGTGACTAGATGTGGTCATCTTAGTATTATTACTCTTTGGTGTTGAATGGGCTTTCTGGGTCTGTGGTGTAGTTTCAATCATTGATTTTCAAAAGTTCAAAGACATTACCACCTCATGTGTCCCTCTACTCCATTTTCTTTTTCTCCTGGTACGTAATCATGCATGTGTCATGTTTTTTCATATAGTAGATCATATGGCTCCAGAGTGTTTGCTATTGTGTTTTTCATTCCCCTCAATCCTTGTATTTTTGTCTGAGAAATTTCTATTGACCTGTCTTCAAGTTGTCTTATCTTTGTTATGTTTTTATGAGTCTAGAAGAGCTCATTAAAGATAGTCTTCATTTCACATCTTTTACAGTGGTTTTCCATTTGATTTTAAAGATTTATTTATTTTATTTGAAAGTCAGAGTTACACAGAGAAAAGGAGAGGCAGAGAGAGAGAGAAAGGTCTTCCATCCACGGGTTCACTCCCTAATTGGCCGCAATTGCCAGAGCTTCACTGATCTGAAGTCTGAAACAAGGAG